CTTATAGGGTTTATACTGAGTACAATATTGTATAACTGTAATAATTCAACTGTAAACCTAAAAATTTACAGCCAATTTTGAAAGAGATGCATCCTACCTCAGGAAACCGTTATTGAATATGTCAATTGTGTTGTAATGATATGCTTCTTCTAAGTATGTTGTTATTAAATAAATCATTTTTTAAAATTAAAAAGAAAAATTTAAAGATGTGTTCAGAAAAGAAAAAGCATAGACAATATACAGATAAAATTTTCAAAGTTTTATAAAACCTAGAACAGTGAAATTTTATTGTATGTTCTAATGAAGTAGAAATTTGGTCACTATTAATTTAGGTGTTGCTCGTTATTTTGTTTGACCATCTATGGAATTGCTCCTTTGTAGCAAGCATTTGAAGCACTCTTTATTCAATGAACTTATAGAGCAGACCTCCCCATAGTTAACCTTATCATGCTAGTCCTCATCTCCTTGTTCTTCCTTTACTGACAACAGTCCTGTCATCTAGGAAGACCCGTGGAAAGAACTCAGCCTCCGAAACAATTTGATTAGTGGATCCACTGTCTCTCCCACTAATTCTGCACAAGAGCCTCCAAACGTCTCCCCCAGATAAATGTATACTTTTAAACTTTATGTGTGTGGGAACTGCTATCTTACAAAGGAGACCATAAAACTATGGTATGGTATGCTTATGAAAGACAAATTGCATAAGCTTTATCTACTATTCTAGAAATGAAAGTAATTTAGTTCTCAGTTGGTTACTTTCCTGAGATCCTAAAGAAATTAAGAAAATTTGATCAAATTTTCATTTTTGTAAAATTACATTAAAAAGTGAAAAATCAGAAGTGGGAATACACCACAATTAAAAAAAAAATGTTTCTTTTGACCAGGAAATACTGCCTAATTATGATGAAAACAGAAAGCATACATAGCTATCATACCTAAATTCTCTTCCATAACATCACCCCCACCCCAGCATCTTTTCTGGCCTGTGGAACTGATGATTGTGATGTACAAATGAAGTGTCACTCTTCAGTAAATCAACACTCAGTCTCAAAGCAGCCAATTAGGGAAACACTTTTCTCTTCAAAAAGGGTGTACCACAGGGCTGGAGAGATGGCTCAGCAGTTTAGAGCACTGGCTGCTTTTGCAGAGGACTCAGTTTTGGTTCCCAGCACCCACATGGCACTATCAACTCTAACTCCAGTTATAGGACATTGCATGCATGTGGTACACTAATATATAAAGCAAGCAAAACACTCATACACATAAAAATAAAGATAAATAATTTTTAAAATTAAAAAAAAAAGCTGCACTTGGCCGGGCGTGGTGGCGCACACCTTTAATCCCAGCACTTGGGAGGCAGAGGCAGGCGGAGCTCTGTGAGTTCGAGGCCAGCCTGGTCTACATAGTGAGTTCCAGGTCAGCTGGGGCTACAGGAAGACCCTGTTTTAAAAAGACCAATTAAAAAAAAAAAAAAAAAAAAAAAAAAAAAAAAAAAAAAAAAGCTGCACCACATAAGAATGTCAGTTATGTTGCTTCATTAAAAACAAATAAACAAGGGCAGAGCATGGTAGCATACACCTTTAATCCCATCACTTTAGTGGCAGAGGCAGGTAGAACTCTGTCAGATCAAGATCAGCCTGATCTACATAGCAAGTTCCAGGCTAGCTGGGGCTACAGGAAGACCCAGTTTCAAAAACAAAACACAACACAACACACCATACCACACCCCACACAACACACAACACAAAACAAAAAACCAAACCAAACCAAACACCAACAACAAAACAAACAAACCCATCCATTCACTCCTTACTTATTTCTTAAGTAAATGCTATGTACTAGGCACTGTTGTAAACATGGAGTGTCTCACACTTAGCAGAACAACTATGTTATTCATCTGACTGTGATTCTAGCACAGTCTCCTATGAGACCCCTTTACAAATAAATCTCACTTGGACTCCTCAGCCCCAGTGGCTATGCCAGTGGTGGAAGGCCATAGGTCTACCTTCCAGGACCCCATTTGACTTGGAGTACAGTTTTTAAAAAAACAGAGCAAGGAAATTATGATGGCTTCAACAATAAAGAACTATATAAAACCTAGCAGTGTGAACTACAATGGTTCTGTTGTCAAAATAGAAAACATTAGCTACAAAGTAGATCAGGACACTAAGAGTAGTTTTTTAACTTGGTAAAGCTGGAAATGGTCATAGTAACAGAAGTAAAAGCAGAGAGACAATATACACTGTGAGACTCAAAGCAGTGTAAGCAGTGAAAAAATGCTTGTGGCTTGTCAGTTTAGGCCTAACCTGGTCTGCAGAGAAATCGAGGTTGTGTTAGTGTGGCTCTGAGATGCCCTTACCTTTCCACCTCTGCTCTCTGGCTGGGGTTGGTGATGGCAGCGATATACTGCATAATGTACTTACTGGCCTCTGTTTTACCGGCTCCACTTTCCCCTAGAGGGAAGAATTGTGTAGGACTTAGCATCATACTGTAAACCATGAATAAACTCATTGTCAGTAGTATAATGTCAGTTATTCATTTAAAATCCTATGTGCCACATTATCTTTTTGTTTCTCCCTTTTTAAAAGCTATTTTTTCCTTGCATGGTTCTAACAAATCTGTGCACATATTTTTAAAATGACAGAAGTAAAATTACACACTACAAATCAATATTTAGTTAAGGAAAAGTATATCAAGGGACAAATTGTGGTTAACTAGTTCCTCAGACTAAGCAATGACTACTAAGTGCGGCAGAAACAAAATAAGGTGGTGATTCAAACAGTGGCTACAGCTAAACTCATACACCCTTATTTTCTACAGCAAAAGGATTTTATTTTAATCTTAAAGGAAATAAAATAATCCTTTACAAAAATTGAAGTGAGGGTCAGGTATCCATAGACCTAGCCAATCAGGAGACAGACAGATTGAGCACAAGAATTTTTTTTGGGGGGGGGGGGGTCTTTTTGAGAAAGGGTCTCCCTGTAGCTTCAGCTGCCCTGGAACTTGCTATGTAGACCAGGCTGGCCTCGAACTCACAGAGATTCACCTGCCTCTGCCTCCTGACTGCTGGGACTAAAGGCATGTGCCACCATAGCTGGAGAGAACATAAATTTTAAAAAAAAATTTTTTTATTATTTTAATATTACGTGTATGAATATATTGCCTGCATGTATGTAAGTGTACTCATGTCGTGCAGTGCCTGCAGAGGTCAGAGAGGGCTTTGGATTCCCCTAGAGCTGGAGTTACAGATTGTTATTAGCCACCATGTGGGTGTGGAACCCAGGTCCTCTGCAAAAGCAGGCAGTGCTATTAACCACTGACTCATCTCTCCAGTCCAGAGCACAGAATTTTTGAAACTAGCCTGAGCAATATAGTCAGACACAGTCTCTTAAGCCAAAAAGAAAAAAAGAAACCAAAACCAAAAAATAAATAACAATTTTAGTGGAAAAATAAAACATCAAGCTCTAGATATAATGTATCTTATGATAAACATGTTGCATTATAGCTAGTGTTGGTAGAGGGAAGGGATCAATTCAGAAGTTCTATCTATGTGTTCTAACACCAAACTTCACTTACAGAAATTTCTCTCAAGGAAAATTATTTTCTCAATGTATATTTTTTATTGAATTTTTGTACATTTCACATCATAATACATCTTAATCATAATTAGACCCTTTCCCTCATCCATACCCTCCTATAGCCCCCTCACCAGATTTCATGCATTTTGTCATTTATGTTAAGGCCTATAGAGTCAAGTCTGTGTATGTACCTAGACAGATGTCCCTCAGTGTGGGTTCATCCACTGGAGTCTAGTCAGCCTATTTAGAGTTATTCCCTTAAAGAAGACCAATTCCCCTCACTCAGAAGTAATCACCTGTCAATAGTTCCTCCACTAAGGTTGAGGCCTCTTGCCCATTTCCCCAGTTCTATGCTGGATTTTTGTCTGAGTTTGCATGGGTCTTGAACATGCTGTCAATATTGCTGTAAGTTCATGAGCAAGCTTCCAGAAGCCTGGAAGAGTTTGTTTCTTTATGATCATGCACCAATCCTGGCTCTTAAAATCTTTCCACCCCCTCTTCTGCAATGGTCCCCAAGGGAATATTTTTTAACAGAACAATATTATAATGTTCTGTTCAAAGGCTTCAAAACTATTTTCATAGATTATATTCTTATAGCTAAAATCAGGATAATAGCCCTAGCAGTAGAAAACTGGATAGAAATAGTTTACTCAATAAAATTGCTCACAAGAATGTACTAGTTCCATAGAAATCCCAATAAAAACATGTCCACTATATACTGTTGAATGGAAAAACTAATTATGTAACAGCAGGCATAAGTCTTCAGTTCTGTATTTTTACTTATTTATGTAGGATGTAGGTATGATTCCAGGTACCTCCACACACTGAAAAAACGGACAGGAGAACAAACATGGACATCTGTTACTTCTGGACTGTTGTGGGATGAGGCAATCAAGAGGAAGGGATTTTTTTTTTTAATATCCCTTTGAATTGTTGGTCGGGGGGCATCTCAGAAACTAAGAAAACAACACAGGCTATTACCATTGTTTTTGGTTGTCTACCAAAACTTGATGGGAAGACATTATCGCAGAAAATACTACACACTTGGCCAAAGAATATGTGGAAATCAAGCTGATAGTGAGCTGGAAGCTTTCTCCATGACTAGTATTCATCGTACCAGGAGGTACTATATAGGCTGCTGGTCTATGCATTTGCATCAACATACAACCCTGGAAGCTACAATAATGACCAACCTGGCAAGAAATGCCCATTAGTGCAATAGTGCCATGAATGTTATGAAGGCAACCAACCACTTTCTGATTGGATTTAAGGCCCATTCCACAGGAGGGAACTCATGCCTGGTACTGTAAACCTAGCCAAGAACCTGTGGCTGGGTGGTCATAGTCCTAAGGGAGAATCTACTATTATTATTTCAATAAATGGACAGAGTACCAAACTATCTTCTAAATACTTATCTTTATATCCTTCTCCTCATCAGAGGTGCTTCTTTTTGCAATGGACAGTGGTTAATACAGAGACTCACAACTGGTCAAAGTACAGTGAATAAGGGTCTATTAAGGGCTTAGCCTAAATGAGACATCTACATTACATATACCCTTTACCAAGAGAGAGAGGTCAGGGAGGACTTCCGTGAAACTGTGCCTTCTGGACATGACAGGGCCATTGCATTCATGAACTATCCACAGCTGTGGTTGCCTGCACAAGATCAAGCCAGCCAATACTCTAGTGTGGATGGGGGAGGGACCCATTCCTAGCTGAGGAGCTAGTGACAGCTGATGGCTACTGGTGAAGGAAGAGTCAGTTTTCTTCATGAGTGTGGCCCCTGGCAGGTTGACCATGCTCCAGTGGGTGGTCCTATACCCATGTGTAGACAAACAGCACTAACTGCATTATAAACAAAAAAAGAAAAGGACATGAAGCTGGGAGGAGGATGTGGGGACCATGGGGGTCTGGGAAGAGTTGGAAGGGAGTTGGGAGTAGATATGATTAAAGTACATTGAACATCTACATGAATTCTCAAAGAATAAAAAATTATATATTAAAAAGAGAAAACGGCTGGGAGTGGTGGCACACGCCTGTAGTCCCAGCACTTGGGAGGCAGAGGCAGGTGGATCTCT